AGGTCTGGAAGAAGTCGACTCCCTCCCGCTGACTGAAGCCTCGAGCAACGTAACGAGCCTTGAAGACAGACGGAGAACCTGGCGGCCGCTTCACCCTGAAAATCCACATGCCATTGACGATGTTCGCCCCAGGAGGGGGAACCTCGTTGACGTAAGTGCCTGTGGACTTCCAGGATGCCATCTCTGCGTCCATGGCTGTCTGCCACTGAGAGGAGTAGGGACCCGCGATCGCCTCAGCGTAAGAACGCGGAGTCGGGATGTCTGGTGCATCCGGGTCTCCCTCAGGAGCAAGCAGCATGGACACGAGATGAGGCGCAGCGGCTGCAAGACACTCAAGGTCCTCCTGCCTGTTCTTAAGGACGTCCGTGCTAAGAGCACACCCACCCTCGACGGACGGAGGACAGACAGACTCAGACTCAGCAACAAGACTAGCGGCGTAGTCTAGACGACATGCAGCAGCAAAGTCAACAAGCTCAGCGACTAAGGCAGACGCAGCAGCAGACTCAAACGACGGGTCAGTGACAACAGTGGCGAGCAGACGCGTGACAGTAGGGTGAGCAGCACGAGTGCGGTCAGACTCAGGTTGTGGATCGTCAGGCAGAGAAGACGCAGGAGGGGACGGCAAGGGAACACGCTGCGGAGCAGAGGAAGGACGCATGGCCATGAGGTGTGTGCCGGGGACAGCCGGCAGACGCTCACGAGGAACACGACAACCAGTATGACCAGTGCGGACAGTGCGAAGAGGCGAGACAGGACGAGACGCAGGCTCACGACGCTCAGCAAGACCGCCTGTCAGCTCAGTGTAAGGAGAAGGAGCAGGCAGCGGTGAGCCAGGCTGTAACGGAAGACCAGTAGACGACGGGAGGCTAAGAACCTGGCAAAGCACGAAGCCAGGCGGTGGCAGAGACGAAGGTGATGGCGGAGCGAAGAACAGTCGCGCTGCATTGGCTTAGTCATGGAGGTCGCTCGTACCTCCTTGATTCATGCGGCAGACAAGCTCTCCTCCCGCGCCATTCCCTGTGTCTTCCTTGGCTTTGTCCCTGACGCGCCTGGCTGGCAGTTTTACCACCCCACCTCGTGCCGTGTCCTGCCCTCTCAGGACGTCACGTTTGACGAGTCGGTTCCCTTTTACCGTCTCTTCCCCTACCGCACTGCCCCTCTCCCTCCCCCGCTGCTCTTCCTCACACCAGGTCCTCCTCCGGTAGACCCCCTTCCCCCTCAGGGTCCTGCTCCCTAAGGTGTGTCCCAGGTAGACGATGTCGAGCCTGTCGAGGTCGCTGTCGACTGTGGTGCTGCTAGAGGTGTTGCATCTGGGGGTGCTGAGCCTGCGGGTGCGGGGCCTGGGGGTGCTGAGCTTGAGCGTGCGGAGCCTGGGGGTGCGGAGCCTGGGGGTGCTGAGCCTACGGGTGCAGAGCCTGGGGGTGTTGAGCGTGCGGGTGCAGAGCCTGGAGGTGCTGAGCCTGAGCGTGCGGAGCCTGGAGGTGCTGAGCCTGGGGGTGCTGAGCCCGAGTGTGCTGAGCCTAGACGCCCTTCGGGTGTCTTGTCACGGCCGGAGTCTCTCTCTCCACTGCAGCTGCGCGAGTGGTTTGCACGGCGCTGGAGCATCCGGAGTGGTGGTGCTGGAGCTGGAGCTGCTGGAGGTGCTGGAGCCGCTAGTCCCGGAGGTGCTTGTACAGGAGGTACTGGAGCTGCTGGGGCTGGAGGTACTGCTAGAGCTGCTGGCGGTACTGGAGCTGCTGGAGCAGGAGGTCCTTCTAGCGTTGGAGCCACTGGAGGTGCTGCTGGTACTGGAGCTGCTGGAGCTGGAGGTGCTGTTGGAGCTGGAGCTGCTGGAGGTGCTGGAGCTACCGGAGCTGGAGGTGCTGGAGCTAGAGCTGCTGGAGCTGGAGCTGGAGTTGCTGCTGGAGCTGGAGTGTTGGAGGTACTGGTGCTGTCGGTGCTGGTGCTGGAGGTGCTATGAGGCTGCGACCGTACTTCGTTCCACTGCTTCAGCAGGTTCTTGGTCTCCCGCCTTCTACTGACCTTGCTCCTCCCTTCCTGTATCCACCGCCTGACCAGTCCCAGGCACAGCTACTGCCAGCCTCCCCACTGCCTGCTCCTTCTCCTTACACTGAGCAGCCCAGAGGTCTTACTGAGCGTCGTGAGCCTGCGTCTCGTCCTGCGTCGCCTGTTCGCGCTGGTTGCACTAGTCGTCGTGTTCCGCGTCCGCGTCCTCATCCTGTCCGCGGCACGCACCAGATGGCACTTCGTCCTTTTTCTGTTCCACTGCATGTCCCTCTGCCGTCTCCTCCTGCGTCCTCCCTTGCTGACAGTCCAAACCCGGAGTCTGACTCCCTTCGTGCTGCTAGTCCTACTGTCACGCGTCTCCTCGCCACTGTTGCCACTCCTTTAAGTCCACTGCTGCGTCTGCCTTAGTTGCTGAGCTTGTCGACTTTGCTGCTCGCTGTCGTCTAGACTACACCGGTAGCCTTGTTGCTGAGTCTGAGTCTGCCTGTCCTCTGTTCGTCGGGGGTGAGTGTGCTCTTGGCACGGACGTCCTTGAGGACAGGCAGGAGGACTTTGAGTGCTTTGCAGCTTCTGTACCTCATCTCGTGTCCATGCTGATTGCATCTGAGGGAGACCCAGATGCACCACACATCCCGACCCCGCGCTCTTACGCAGAGGCGATAGAGGGTCCCTACTCCTCTCAGTGGCAGTCAGCCATGGACGCAGAGATGGCATCCTGGAAGTCCACTGGCACTTACGTCGACGAGGTTCCCCCACCTGGGGCGAACATCGTCAGTGGCATGTGGATTTTCAGGGTGAAGCGGCCGCCAGGTTCTCCGCCTGTCTTCAAGGCGCGTTACGTTGCACAAGGCTTCAGTCAGTGACAGGGAGTTGACTTCTTCCAGACCTTCTCCCCTTCCCCGAAGATGACCACTCTTCGGGTACTGCTGCATGTCGCCGCTCAGTGTGACTACGAGCTTCACTCTCTTGACTTCAGCACTGCTTTCCTACAGGGCAGCCTGCACGAGGAGATCTGGCTGCGCCGCCCACCTGGCTTCACTGGGTCGTTTCCTGCAGGTACCCAGTGGAGCCTCCGGCGGCCAGTCTACGGTCTCCGCTAGGCGCCTCGCGAGTGGCACGACACACTGAGGACGACTCTTGCGGCTCTTGGGTTTGCTCCTTCTACTGCTCACCCATCGCTGTTTCTACGCACCGACACTTCGCTGCCGCCGTTCTACATCCTCGTGTACGTCGACGACTTGGTCTTTGCCACTGCTGACATTGTTGGACTGGCCCACGTGAAGTCGGAGCTGCAGAAGAGATGCACGTGCACAGACCTAGGTGAGCTGCGCAGCTATCTTGGCTTGCAGATCACCCGGGACAGAGCACGACGCACCATCACCCTGACTCATTTTCACATGGTGCATCAGGTCCTTCAACGCTTCAGCTTCACTTGGTCCTCGCCACAGTCCACTCCTCTGGCTACCGGTCACTCGCTCTCAGCTCCACCTTTGGACGAGTCTGTAGAGCCGACTGGCCCGTACCCAGAGCTAGTGGGCTGCCTCATGTACCTGATGACCTGCACTCGACCTGACCTTGCTTACCCTCTTAGCATACTGGCACGCTACGTTGCGCCCGGGAGACACCGACCAGAGCACTGGAAGGCCGCTAAGAGGGTGATGCGCTACTTGTGCAGTACGTCGGGCATGGGGCTCGTGCTTGGAGGACAGGGTCCAGTTGTCCTCACTGGTCACGCAGAGGCTTCTTGGGTTGACGACTTGGCTACGCAGCGGTCGTCACAGGGTTACACCTTCAGCCTTGGCTCCAATTCTGTTTTGTGGCGGTCTACCCGCTCGTCTTCTGTTCTCAGCTCCAGCTGTGAGGCTGAGATCTACGCAGGAGCCATGGCTGCACAGGAGTTACGCTGGCTCACCTACCTGCTGACCGACCTAGGAGAGCCGCCTCTCCTCCAGTTCTGTACGTCAACAACAAGGCCATGATTGCCTTGTGTCAGGAGCACAGACTGGAGCACAGAACAAAGCACATCGCTCTCGTTACTTCCTTGCTCGAGAGTTGCAGCAGCGTGGTCAGCTTCGTCTTGCTTACGTGGGCTCTCGGGCCAACACTGCTGATATCTTCACCAAGGCACTTCCGCCTTGTGATCATCAGCGTTTCTGTACTGCTCTAGGCCTTGTGCCTACTTGGCCTCACTTTCTCACTTCTTGACTTTGCTTGTACTATGATCTATATACTTATACCTGCATACTTACACTTGCTATGTTGTGATCACTGTACTGCTTGTTCTCCTTTATATATAACTCTGCATGTGAACTGGCCTTGTGGCCATTTGCTTGTGCTCAAAATGTGTGGTGACTTCGTGATCCACCCTGAGCTTGCTTTGCCTTTCTTGACTGGTCTTGTGACCTCTTGTTCTCCCCCTCTTTGCTTATGGGGGTGTGTCAAACATATTTGCTACTTATTGTGTAGGCTGTAGTGGGGTAGCCCATATGGGGTACAACCCAAATTAGGGTTTGCTACTCGTACCCATCCTGCTGCTAGTTCTTTCAGTCCTCTTCGTTATTTTGACAGATACAACCAGGAATGTATTCAGGCGATAAAACAGACAAGACACACCCTGTGCCTTCAGGTTTCAGGCCAGGGACAGCATCGCAAATGCTCGTGTGCAAAAACCACACATTCTCAAGCCGTTTCAAGGTGCCCCTAACACACGTAGGGCAAGTTCATCTCGCCATGTGGACTTTGCCCTTGCCCGATACAGACACATTTCCGTCCTCATGATGTGCATCAATCACACGTCACATCGCATGGTGGTGGTTACCGGGTTGCCTCTAGTTTCAAAACAGGTCCGGATGCGTTTGCACAGAAGCACGTTTGTGAACAACAATGTCAAAGTGCGCCCGCCCCACCTCTTCTTGTGCATGCCGTAAATCTCGAATAAGAAGACACACTCCTCAGCGCCAAACTCATTCTCTTCACATTCACAGCTGAACAGCATGCCGCGCCTATACCACCGTACGCAGCTTGGTCTGCCGATCAAGAGAGCGATTTGCGAGCACCACGTCGAAAACCCTCATCTGCGCCATGTTGACCTCGCCCGGTGGTGCTTCACCAGGTTCGGAATCCGCCCCGACCGCTGCACTATTGGTCGCGTTCTTAAGGGCGCCGACCGTTGGGTGCGCCCTGATGCCGACGCCGGCAACATTCGCGTCCGTGGGGGAGCTTACCCGGTGCTCGAGCGCGCCATGGCCCGGTGGATTGCCAATGCGGGACCCGCTGGAGTCCCGCTCACTCTCGCCACCATTCGCGACCACATCGCGAATATGGCACAGGCGAACGGTGCCCCGTCTACATTTCGCTGCTCCATCGGCTGGGTTTGTCGCGCGCTGCGCCGTCAGGGCGTTCGGTGCATGAGCGCGGTCGGCAAGGCGGCCGACCAGGATATGAATGCTCTACGAACGACCAAAGAGAAGTTGCCGCAGCTGTTGATGCACCTGGCCGTGACTCCCGCCAACCCTTTTAATTTTGATGAAACGGCACTGTACATTTCGATCCTAGCGCGGAAGACCTACGGGAGCGTGCGCACGGCCGGCCGCAAAATCGCCAAGCAGCGCATGACCGTCGGCTTCCTTGTCAACGACGACGGTACCCGAGTCTTCAAGCCCCTAGTCATCTCTAAGTCTAAGCGACCCCACGACTTCCGCCCCGATTACAACCCCGAGGAGTACTGCTACTGGCGCCACAATGCCAAGGGGTGGATGACTAGCAATGTAAGTTGGAAAATGCAATTGAAAACCTGGCAGCCGCGGTACCCTGCATGCTACCAAACCACACGCTACCACTCAGCCCTTTTGTTAGCATTTGCTTATGTATTGTTTTCTCTCTCTGTTATTTATCTCGTCCTCCCCGCGCAGTTGTTCAAACATTTCATCGAGCAACTCGACACTGCTATGTACGTCGAGGGCAAGAAGATAGTGGTGCTTCTGGACAATGCAAGCAGCCGCACCCTCAAGACCGAAGGCGCAACCAGGGAGGACATGTTCGGCTTTTGCACGGTGGCGCTCGGGAAAGTTCTGCTCGTGTACCTGCCGCCGAACACGACCTACTTCACCCAGCCCCTTGACCAGGGGCTTATTTCCATGGCGAAGGCGCGGTACCGCCAGCACTGGCTCCGCGCCTTCACCGGCATGTGGACGGCCGATGGTGCCACATCTGCGGTGGCTCCCTTCAAGCCCAACATGCGGGCTGTGGTTGAGTGGTTGAACGACGCGTGGATGAACCTTCCCCCACGCGCCATCCAGCGCTGTTGGTGGCGCACAGGATGCCTCCCGCGCGTCTGGGCCCTCTCACTCCCTCACGTGGAAACCGGCCCCCGCAACAACGGCGGCACGGTGGTTGATGGAGCGGATGGGACCGAGATCGGCCTGGATGAGGAGGTCAACGACGTTGGCCTCCTCATCGACTGGCTCTGCCTCGATCCAAGCGCGATGGCAGCCGAGGCTTTTGTAGGGATTGATGACAATCAGCCCACGTGCGCCGAACCCGGCGAGGATCCGCTTGCGAGGGAGCCGTTGCCCCGCGATGCTGCTGTAATGTGGGAGGCGCCGTCAAACATGCAGCACGTGTACCACGATAGCAACCCCGCATTCGCGAGGCTCGTCGCACCGCGCGCGCGGCGTGCGAGATGTTGATCGGCTACGCGCGGGCGACCTGCATCACGCCGCGCGACCTTTGCGCGCTTTTTGACATTCGCAATCCGATCATCGTTGCGCGAATGGAGCGCGCAAGTCCCGCTCTTGATCTCAACCACGTCCCCCCCCCCCCCCCCTCCCCCCCCCCCCCCCCCCCCCGCCGTGACTCACGTCGACACCCCGCCGCCTGAGACCCCTCGTCGCCGCGGTAGGGTGCTCCCGGCCTGGATGCACGTGCCCACCCTTGACTGGGTGGCGCAGACGGCCCGCCGCCAGGAGCTCATTGAGGCCGGTGCACCCGCCGTCATGAGCGGGTACCTGGCTGCCGCAGAGTGGATGCGGGTGTGAGAGGGGTGTTTCCTCTCTTGGAGGCTTTGATTGCCTCGTCGAATGCAATTTGTGTACCCCTTGTGCACATTTGCGATGTCCTGTATCAATGTCGGTTACATTTGTGGGGGGAAGGGGTGGGGTACAGGTGGTGCGTAGTTATTGGGCGGTGTTGTCAATGTGATGTTTGTGACAAGGCGGATTGTGGAATGTAATGGTGGGTCTTTGATTCGGGCGAGAATTATGGTAACCTAGCCTACAAATGCCAAACAAACGAAGCCGCCCCACACTGTTGGGGGAAACGACAAGCGTGTTACAACTTGTGCCGTTTATAAGCACCTCATGCCCGTGGCAACGAAGTGCGCGAACTACAGAAATCGGTAGCCCAAAGCACAAGAGCACCTTGGGGGACTAAAACGCGCATCAGGTGTAGGGAAAACAATCCTGTGGTTTCTGTTGCTGTTTCTGGCTGAAATCTACACGTTCATCTAGTCCATAACCTTAGACACACGCGTGCAAGCACGTGAGAATCACAGCTAGACGAAAATGAAGCTAACAGGGCGCCTTCCGCGGTCGTAACTCGCCTGGTTCCAGGTTCTTACTTAGGGACATTCGTGACTTAGGGATTTCCGAGTCCTGTTTGTGGCATAAATACGAACAGAACTTTCATAGTTTTGAAATGCGTCCTAAAGTGACACACATCACAATTAGTCAGCCCAATAAAAACTAGACGAAAGCAATAACACTTATTTCTGATTCACCCTATCAAGAGATGACGCTAAAAAAGGTTAGCAGAATGATTAAATATGTGATAATACTCATCATATAAGAGAACTCGAACCTCTGCAAAAGAAAATAGTCTATAACAAATGATACTATATATATGAGTAATATTTTAATGACAGGAAACAAACAGCTACATGTGTGTGTACGCTTGAATGATGAACATTAGGTGTTGAACGAAGATGAATAATATGTTTAGAAATAAACGTGAGAGAATGGGTGTTGTTCAGGGATTCCGTGATCATATACCTAACAATTGAAAATAACGATTCTTAAACGTCCTGCATTCTTTTTTTGGCAATACACAAGTACTTTAAGAGTGCAGCTCCTACGCAACGCTTCCGTCGTTCAACGACGAATCTTGTTTTCTTTTTCGGAATGTCATGTGCCCGAGTAGCTTGCAATTCGTCCCATCGTCCTCGTACTGCACTGTACTCCCATTGTGAAAACCGTTGCGCGCCTTGTTTGCTTTGGTATAAATCTTTTTTGCCAGCCCTGTCAAACATTGCATATGTTACTGTTCTGTAGGCTACAGTGGGTTTAGCCTTAGGGGGTACAACATTCTAGGGTTTTCCTACTTGTACTCCCAATCTTGCTAGTCCAACCACTTCTCATTCTTAACATGGTATTAAGAGCCTAGGTTAGGGACCTAGGGCCGATTACCTAAGGGCCCACCGATCCGCTACAGGTGCCCTCGTGCGCCCTACCGTCTTAGCGCCCTCGAGCGCCTCTCTCCTAGTGCGCCCTCGCGCGCCCTCCTCTCACGCTGCTCGTTTTGCAGCCCGCTAGCAGCCCGAGCGCGGCCCCGCGTTTTTAGCGCGAGTAGGAAATTCGCCGCCTAGGGCGGCCCGATTTTTTCTCGCGAGCCCCAGCAGGCCGTCGCCCGTAGGCCCCGCTCGCCCCTAGGCCGACGCTCGACCCACCGCAGTCCGCCCGCAGGTCGCAGCCCGAGCGCAGCGGCGATCGCGCGTCGGCTGCTGCAGCTAGTGCTTAGCCGCCGCACGAACGCAGCCGCGGCCCGCGCGCAGCTGCACCCTAGGCGCTGCCGCGCACCGAGCATAGGCCCGCCGTCGCGCCGCCCTACCTACCCGAGCCGCGCCGCCCGAGCCGCGCCGCCCGAGTCGCGCCGCCCTGACTGAGCCGCGCCGCCCTGACTGAGCCGCGCCGCCCCACCTGCAGCAACTGCTCTTACTGCTCCTACTGCTACTGCTACTGCTTCTGCTACTGCTGCTACTGCTACTGCTGCTACTGCTACTGCTGCTACTGCTACTGCCACTATGGCTAGCCCTACCGTTCTCACGTTTGACTCTGAGTGCCGTCCGATTAAGTTTGACGTTTGGCTCGATGACCTACACCTGTTCCTCCAGATCACTGCCAAGGACGATGTTTCCCTGTTTGACCACACGTCTGGCGCCGCTCCCGCACCTGCTGCTACTGCTGACAGCACTGCTCGCTCACAGTGGCAGACCCGTGACGCTCATGCTCGCCTAGCCGTTCGCAGCCACCTACCGTTAGATGAGCGCGAGCACTTTGGCCAGCATAAGACCGCTAAAGAGCTGTACGACGCTGTAGTTGCACGCTACTCCTCCCCTGCTACTGCTGCGATAGGCCGTCTCTCCCTGCCCTATCTCTTCCCCGATCTGTCTGCTTTTGCCACTGTAGCTGACCTCATCACACACCTCCGTACTAGTGATCTTCGCTACCGTGCCGCGCTTCCCCCCGATTTCCTAGCCAAGAACCCTCCCCCGATGTACCTCACACTCTATCACCTAGTCACCCGCCTCCCTAACTCCCTTCGCACTGTCAGGGACCACTTTCTCGCCCTCTCCCCTACTGACCTCACTGTCGACCTGCTCGAGAAGGAACTCCTAGCAGCTGAGAAGAGCATTGTAGCTGTAGGTGCCTCTCGTGGCGACCCTCGCACTCCCTTCTTTGAGGGGTGCTCCCCCGTCCCCCTCCTCCCCTCCATTGCATCTGCTGCTGCTGTCGACTACCTCGGTGCTGAGGGGGTCGGGGCTGCGTCTGCTCCTAGTGGGAGGCGCAAGGGCGGCAGGGGCAAGGGGGGCAGGGGTGGCGGTGGTGGCGGCGGGGGCGGCGGTGGTGGAGGGGGTGGAGGCGGCGGGGGTGGTGGCGGTGGTGGGAATGGTACTGGTGGTGAGGGGGTCGGTGGCGGGGCCGGGGGTGGTGGCGGCGGCGGTGGTGGGGGTGGCGGGGGTGGTGGTGGTAGTGGTGGCGACAGTGGAGCCGGTGGCGGGCGCGGTGGAGCGGTGCAGCGTGGGGGGATTGGAGGTGGCCAGAGGCAGCAGCAGCAGCGTCCCAGCGAGACCCCGTCGTCCCAGCAGCTCCGTGAGTGGTACTCTCAGCGTGGGGGGTCTGGGGGTGGAGGTACCTGCCCGTACATCATCCGCACAGGTGACCGCACTGTGGGAGGTTTCACACGGCGCAGCGCTGTTTCTTTCGCCTCGACGACGCCTGGCGCGAGCAGTTCCCTGACGCCTCTGAGCTGCCCCGCTGGGCTAATCTGCTTAAGAAGGGAATTTATACCTTTGCTCTTGATTTTGATGCTATCCTTGCTGCTATGTATGCATTGACTATTAGTGTTGAGGGTGACTGCTACCTGAGTGTACCGCCCGACCCGGGTATTGGGACCAGTGAGACAGCTGCTCTAGGTCCTAGTGCGTCTGCTGCCCTAGGTCCTGGTGAGGCTACTGCTCTAGGTGCTAGTGAGTCTGCTGCTCCAGGTGCTACTGCGTCTACTGAGGCACTACACACCTTCACCCTGGACTCGGGTGCTTCCCGCTGTTTCTTTCGTGACCGCACTGTCCTTGAGCAGCTAGCTCGGCCAGTTGTTGTCTCTCTCGCTGACCCCTCTGGGGGCCCAGTCCTTGCGACCTCCTCCACTGTCCTCCCTTGTCCGGCGGTTCCGGCCGGCACCCTGTCGGGTCTTTACCTCCCCTCGTTCTCTACGAACTTGGTGGCGGGCTCTGCTCTCCAGGATGGGGGTGTTCACCAGTTCACCCCTGCCTATGAGCGTGTGACCCACTATACGTGTGCTCGGACGGGTCGCCACCTGGCTACCTTTACTCAGCAGCCGGGGTCAGACCTGTACACACTGACCACTGAGTCCCCTCAGGTAGCTGCGTCTGCGTCTGCGTCGGGTCAGCTGTCAGCCCCCTGCTCGTGTCGCACCCTGTCGCACCAGACCGTCCTCTGGCACCACCGCCTTGGTCACCCTTCAGTGCAGCGCCTTCGTGGCATGCACTCCCGGTACCTTGTCTCTGGTCTTCCCAGGGTTCTCCCTCCTCTCCCACCCTCGCCTGCTCCTCCCTGTCTTCCCTGTGTCAAGGGGCGGCAGCGCGCCACTCCTCACTCCTCCTCGTTCCCTCCCATAGAGGCTCCTCTGCAGACTCTCCACCTGGACGTATGGGGCCCAGCCCGCGTCCGTGGACAGGGCCACGAGCGGTACTTTCTGCTGGTCGTCGACGACTACACGCGCTACACCACGGTCTTCCCCTTGCACACCAAGGGAGAGGTCCCTGATGTTTTGATCCCTTGGATCCGCGCTACTTGTCTCCAGCTCCACGAGCGGTTCCAGTCGTGCGTCTGCACTCTGACAGGGGTGGTGAGTTTTCCTCCGACCTCTTGGCAGCCTACTGTGCGGAGCACGGCATCCGCCAGACGTTCACTCTTCCGGCCTCTCCACAGCATAATGGGATTGCTGAGCGCCGCATTGGCTTAGTCATGGAGGTCGCTCGTACCTCCATGATCCATGCGGCTGCCCCCCATTTTCTGTGGCCGTTTGCAGTACAGTACGCTGCGCATCAGCTCAACCTCTGGCCCCGTGTCTCTGCTCCGAAGACCTCGCCCACACTGCGTTGGACGGGGAAGGT